TTAGCCAAGTAAATGTGCAGTGTTCTTAAATGTGTGAAAACCCTGCAGCGCTACCGCCTGCCCCTCTCTCCTCTGTGTTGCTGAAGCATTGCAGTCAGTAATATGGTTTGGTCTCTGTGTCTCTATGATGTTACTGTGTGCAAATTCATGTTTGAAGTGTAATTCCTTTTCGGTGTCTTTACACTAGCATTCAGAGCTTTGCATGCTTTCCTGACTATATAATTTTAAAAGTGACAGATCTCTCTTAAAATTTTAAGCTGATGATCCTTAAACTGGCAAATGTTTTGATAGTTTCATTAGCTTCTGTTAGGTCTGATACTTGGGATTAAAACTTGTAGAAGTCTTCAGAGGAGGAGAACATAAGCCATTTAACTTTGTTTCTAGAATGTATCTGTTTCTATGTGAAAAAAGGTCAATTTTTCTCTATGTTTTATAAGCAGGTCAATTACTTGGTATTTTAAAACCGGTAAAAAGCTATAAATAGCATGCAAGACATTGACAGTCAATTACAAAGCTCTTCAGTAATGAATATAAACAATTGCCGTGAAAATGTTGATCTTTGGTAGTTGTTTTTTTCATTCCTCGTAACAAGTGATATTTTTACTTCTGTGTTCCTAAGTTCAAGAAGAAAATCACTTTTTGCCTCTGTGTTAGTGCTACCTCTGCTATTTTAGAATAATCACAGTGAGAATTTCTTGGAAGACATGGTAGGTGAGGATGTGTTTCCCTTACAAAGCCTTTGCTGCAGCTGAGAATAGAGAAGTCAGGACATTCCCCTGAAGATGGCATGCATATTTTAATTACTATTCTCCCTTCTTTTTTTGTTTAATTCCATGGGAAAGTAAGGAAATTCCAGATTTGTTTCCTCTAAACAAAGGAAGTTAAAAAAAGAAAAGCCCTCAGAGCAATCTCTGCTCTGTAAAGGTGGCAGATGAAAGATGTGGAACTTCCTTACTCAAATTTCCTTACTCAAACTCTTGGAAAATCCCCAAACCCTCAATTAAATCTTCTCCTAGACCCCAGTGCACTGCAGCGGGACAGCTGTGTCACACAAGGGTAGAGCCAGGACCGTAACTGCTCAGGACTGCTTTCGTATAAATGTCATGATGACGGTTGGCTCAATTGTTCTTGTCCTTTTGCAATGCATGCGATTTTGTGGCAGTAGGTTACATTTCCAGACGGGCAATGCTTCAGCAATTACATGGAATCAGTACATTCTCACACGACGAGCGTCACTATACTGCTCACACATGGATGAACAAAGGTAAGACTCAAACCCACTGCCTTCGTTTTTATCCTGACATGTGAGTTGAAGTGTCCTGTGTGTTTCTGTCAGTGAGGTGGGCAGCAGATTAGAGGTTTTGCAGTTACTTTTAAACCTGCATGCTGCTGCTCATAGCTGGAACTTAACACTCAGTCCAGTGTTTTGATGGAAGTTGGTTCCTGAGTTTCCATCTGCATCTCACTAACCCAAATCACGCATAGGACAGAGCTGAAGGAAGACATTTGGATTAAACCAAGACTACTGTTGGAGGAGCAGTGGCATTTACGTTGTGTGGTCTTAACCCACAGAATGCAGCTTTTTGAAATGCACTGACTGCAGATAATAATGCTTCTGCTCAGAGCTGCTCGTAGTCTGACAGCTGAATAGCAGCATCTCCCAAATGATAGTCACGTGTTAGCTCTTGGGGACACTGGACCCTTCTGATAGTGCCCTCACCTCCTCTGCTGCAGGAGAAACAGCCTGAAGACATTTTTGGAAAAAAAGAGTCAAGAAATCTAGGTCTGCAAGAGGAAGAGAAGAAAAAAGGACATAGTCATCTGAGGGAGACAGCTGGGTGGGAGCAGAGGGATCCTGGGAGCTGGATATGTGCCTCTCAGAGAGAAGGGAAAACTGAGCTTTCTCAAAGCAGGAGGCAATTTAGTGTCAGAAGCACATTTACAAGAATTTGTCTTGTAGCAGAATGTTCTGCAGAGGAAAAGAGAATTGAGGAGCAGAAAAGTATCTGTCTGTCACATTATGAGTGTCCTGCGCTCTTACTGAAGCAGGGAGTCCAAATAAACTGTGTGTGGAACCCCTAAATAGTTCTGCTTCAGGCTCATGCAGAAAGATGTAGCTGTCATTCTTGCTACACCCATCACGCAGTGCAAGAAAAGGAACATATAAGAGAAATCCCAGAACATGATGGTTGGGTTAATTACTACAGATTGGCATTGTCCATACAGGTCAGCTTTTAAAAGATGAGACATAATTTTAAAACATAGCAATCATCCTAGAAAAGGATACAGCAAGTTTTTAAAGTTTCCCAAAGAAAATGCCTTTCTGTTTCCGTAGAGTAAAATGGATGCAATGGAGTGGTTTCTAAATAGAAAATTTGGGATATAATCTCTTTGAGAAAGGACTGCCAGGGAATAGGCCTGAACTAAATTTTATCCTGAAATCTAAGACTAGGAGAGATTTCTACCTTTCTTTAGAGCTAGCCAATAAAGTCACATAGTGATTGCAGCATTTTATAGGTTTTGGGTTGCTGTCCGGATATGTTTAATGATGTCAAATTTTGACATCTGTCATACTGGTCTTTAGAATTTTAGTTTGAGTAGTGTATTTAATAGAAAATGGCACAGTATGTTCCCAAAAGTGTCCCAAAGATTATGTCTGCTAGTGTCAGTTCTGCAAAGATGTATTAGTTAACTGTACTACACAGGAGTGAGGAACATTTCTTGTTAATTTAGGGAGGGAGAAAGCTTGATGACACATGCAAATGGCACATCATATATTTTAAGTTCCGTGTATGTCGCCTACACTGCATTTGTCCTTTCAACATCTATCTCAGTTTGAGCACCACCATATTTGAATTTTATGTGACTGTGATATTAATACACCTGTTAAAGAGAAAATTAATTACATAAGAACTTTTTTTTTAATTAGGTTACCCTTTGGGAGGGGAAATATATATATACATATATTTGTAAAGCTCTGATGATCTCTGCCTTGAAATTACTGTCTTCCCCTTCTTTACCTGGCAGCTATCACTGTGCTTAGGAAGGAGCTGGGCCAACCAGTCCACTGCAGGAGAAGTACAAACTGCTTGGGGTTATGGGAAACACTAATTCTCAAGGTATTAGAAGCTGTGTTTGCACATGAATAAACATTCCCAGTTTTATGCAGATGTACTGAGCAGTACTGAGCCAGAACTAGAGTGCTACAACAGTGCCTACATGAAGGTGAAATGTGGTGAGGGTAGTGCTTGAAAGTTCAAGCAGAGCTTCGTTTCTCTTCCATGAGAGTGGGACTGAAGTGCCAGGGTGGCCGTCCTGAGGAGCTCCTGTCTGACAAGTTACAGATGCCCTCAAAGAACAGAATCATAGAATGTCAGGGGTTGGAAGGGACCTCTAGAGATCATCTAGTCCAACCCCTCTGCCAGAACAGGATCACCCAGGGCAGCCACACAGGAACACATCCAGGTGGGTTTAAATGTGAAAGAGTGGCAGAAGAACCTGTCCCCAACCCTGTGTGCCAGCTTTTAAAGTGACATATGTTGCGATGCTTGGGGTGGTTCCAGTAGTGCTTTCCTGTGGGTCTCTCATCTTTCTCAGGTAGTTGCTGTGAAGAGGATAATTTCAGCAGTTTACACTGAGTTATCTGGGTAGGGGAATACACTGCTGCAATACATTGTCTGAGGAAGAGATTCACCAGTGAGACTTCTGATGGAGAGCAGGAAACATATGTAATATGAGGCTTAGCCCTGTTTTAGGTTGTACTACGTGAGAGAGTCCTTTTCTAAAATTATTCTTCACACATGGCAGAAATTATTTTTCATTTTAGACATTTCTACTTCATAATGACAGTTTCAGAAGCAAGCATTTTATCTACGGTCCAATGGTTTCAACTGTTTCTCCATCTCTAGAACCTCCTGGTCCTCCAGTTGTTGCTGTTGCAGAAGAGCACGTGAGGTTTCCAGTGATCTAGTCCTATTTTTGACTACAGTTTGTTTGAGAGCAGCACTGGCACAAATTGTTTTGCAAAGACTGTGCTAGCAGCCGGTCCTACTCTCTTCTTCCCTCTGTATCCTTTACTCTTTGGTAAGGTTCTAGCCTCAGTGTGCTTTTATAGCCTCCAGCACATTGCCACTGACAGCTCCTGCTGACGCCAGGAACCCCCTCGCGCAGCTTTGTCCTTCCTGCCTGGCACTAGGCAAAGCAAAGCGGAGATCCTACATCCTACAGCAGTCAGACCCCGTTTGTTGTTATTTCCCTCTGAAAAGCTCGGAGAGCGTCTCCATACCTGTGTGTGTGCAGTGAGGACAACACGGCTCTGCCTCCAGCTGGCTCTCTCTGTTGCCTACTAAAGCTGAGGCAGAAAGATGAACCAGTGGGTGCCGGCTCACTATGCAGTTGTTGCCAAGGGCACCAAGCAGGTTTCTCACTTCACTCCCTGGGAAGCCGGAGTTGATTTGTACCCTGAGACGTTTTGGATGCTGGGATCAGTTTAGCAATGGGTATATTTTTTCCCAGAGAACAGTTATTAATAGCTTGACAATAAACAGTGGCTGTGCTCTAACATCCTAGCAATGGAAGCAAGAGCTGAGCAAAGGACACATGCTCTGAAGTTGGTAATAGCGTCTCCCTTCATGTCCTGCAGCTATGAGATACATGGATTAATTTTAAATGCATTGGTAACATATGGGTCTAAAATTATTTCATGCTATTTAGAACAAGTCCTTTGAGCTAAGGCTGTTGTAAATTCTAATTATTCTGTGCTAATCTCCATAATAGGCAGCTATTTCTAACGCAGATCTAACTGATGAGGTCTGACAGCATTTTCCACACTTATTTATACAGCGGCAGCAAGCTGGTACTGTGCTGGTATCAGAATGTTTGCTCAGGTTACAAAAAACTCTGTGTTTTCTGTACTCCTCGGGGAGTTTCCATTTGCTGCAGGCTTATGACTGTTCTGGAATTGTCAATTTATGCCTGTTTGCTTGTATTTCTTTATGCAGAAAATAGGGAAAACTCCTTCAGCCGTTCCCGAAGCTCCAGCGTTTCCAGTATTGACAGGGACTCAAAGGAGGCAATTACAGCTTTGTACTTCATGGAGTCCTTTGCCCGAAAGAATGACTCCGCTGTCTCCTCCTGTCTCTGGGTTGGAACGGGCCTCGGTATGGTCTTAATCCTCTCCCTTAATCTGCCTGCTAGTGATGACTTACGACAGTCAGAGCCAGTCATGGTGTCACCCAGTGGTAAGAATGCAGCTCTTTTCTTGTTTATTTTTATCTGTCTTGGTACAACAGGGGGAATAACTGTGTGATTTTGTGTGGCCTTTTGGGTAGAAATTTCTCAATAGATCTGTCAAGCAACAGCCACTAACTACTTAGAGGCCACATGCATAAATAACAATGTTCGTGAGAGACCCGCAGCTTCATGGACTCCCTCTCTTTGGTTGTGTTATTTCCAAAGATTACCTTGTGTCCTGGGTGAAGTTACACGTTTCCTGTGAGGAAAGGGAAATCAGCAGAGTTTCTTCATATCATGAAATTACAGTCCTGTATAAAGCTCTAGTGCAATCCTATTTGGGATGCTGTGAAGCACGGTTTGGCTGCCTTACTATCAGAAAGCTGCAGAGAAGCAGAAGGGAGTTCAGGAGAGGAAACAAAAATGTTGGCAGGTTGATGTATCAGGAGAAATCCTTGGCTGAGTGAGTGGCAGATGGTGTAGCAGAGAGAACAGAGGGCTGAGAGAGGTCAGGTCTGAGGAGAGGCACTATGCGCTTAGTATACTTAAAGTAAAATAACGACAAAAATCAAAGGATGCACAGGAATAGAGGTTTCCCACCCCAGTTTGTTTGAAAAGCAATGCTGGAAGGTCATCAGAGTCAGGAGAGCAAATTTACTGATGGGGCATAAATACCCTACCAGTATAATGTAGAGATAAACAACAGCCTGTGTTTATGGTATTCAACAGCATGTATTATATGCATTATTTGATATAGACTGCCTGAGACCTTTTCAGTCCTGGCATCTTGTTCACTTTCTTTTGTGGTCAGGAGGAACTGAGCAAGGAAGACTTGCCCCTTAGCCCGATTAACCTGTTCACTCTGTTTACAGAAGCTGAGTATCAGCTATGCTGCACGCGTTCACGGTACTGACAAGTTTAATTGTGGTGCCAGTGCCAGCGAGAGGAAATTGTATTTTGCAGGCACAGTTCTGACACTGAAAGGAGCCGTGCTGACCTTTGCATGCTTGGACTGCATGGGGACATTGACACATCCACCGTATGAAGTATGGAGGGACCCACACAGTGCTGATGACGGTGAAAAAACAAGAAAAAGGAAACTTGTCATGCATTCCCCTTCCTCCTCCCAGGATATGGGTGATCATCAATTTGCAGTCATTTGTTCAGAAAAACAAGCCAAAGTCTTCTCATTGCCTTCCCAAACATGTCTTTATGTCCACAACATCACCGAAACGTCCTTTTTATTGCGAGCAGATGTGGTCACCCTCTGTAACAGCGTCTGTCTGGCGTGCTTTTGTGCCAATGGGCACATCATGACACTGAGGTACTTATCTAACTAATCTTGTGGCAAAACTAAGCAAAGAGGTGGCACAGTGCCGTCACATTCCACTTGTGTTTGCTCCGGAGTGCCCGATGCTCTGCATTCACTCCCTGGTGGGTGCGTTGAGTGCCCTGCCTTGCCTGTTCCTTGGCCTGTCTCCACATGGGGAGTTAAGGCAGCTGCACAGCAAAGCCAACTCGTTTATTGCATAGTAAACCCCCCATGATGTCTGATAATAGTTAAAAACTATCGTAAAAGAAAACCCTGGTAATTTTACTCAGTTATGGTAAGTCGGGTATAGGGGAGTACAGAGAAACTCAGGCATAGAAAGGGTGCTGTTTATCCAGTGTGAAGGAGCAAGTCCTATTCTTGACATTTTGGAAGATTTTCCACTGGGAGCACTTGGTTCCCCTTCCTCGTCATCCCCACCAGAGAGTTGGCGGTGCAGCAGCCCATAGCCATGCCCTTGGCTCGCCATAACCCCTTTCCCCAGCAAGGCCGTTTAAATTTTGAAATTTTTTGCCATCCAAAAGGGCGAACCAGTAGGAGCTGGGAGGACATCCAAGGTGATGCTGGAGCCTTTGTCTGCGGGGTGCAAGCAGGGCCCTGCCGTGCCGGTTCCTGCAGCAGCCCATGCGATAGCTGGGGACAGGCCTTACCCTGTCAAGTGCCCGGGCACATGGCACAAACTGTCCTGTGTCACAGGCACAGCCTGAATCCAGACAGCATGAGAAGCCTAAGGGTCATTGAGGCAAGGCAGCTGAAACTCCTCCATGCAGGGAAACAAAATATGCTGGGAAGGCGGCGTGTTTATGGCAGAATTTCTCAGCTTAGAGCTGCACTTTAACTGTTCTAGTTAGGAAAAGCATAAAAAGCTTAAATATTGGTTTAAAATACAGCCAGTGGGGCAGGTGTACTGTGTGTGGCAGCTGGTGACTAACCGGTCTATCTGCTTCTCTTCAGCTTGCCCAGCCTTCGCCCGCTGCTGGATGTCAACTATTTGCCAGTGACAGACATGAGGATAGCGCGGACCTTTTGTTTCACTAACGAAGGGCAAGCTTTGTACCTCAGCTCTCCCACAGAGATCCAGCGCCTGACATACAGCCAGGAGATGTGCGACAATCTGCAGGTGGGGCTCAAACCCGTACTTCGCTGCTGTCTTGACCCGCTTAGAGTCAAGGTGATTCATTTTGATCCCAGAGGTGAAATTAAGACACAAAGATGTCAGATGTCACAACAGCCCAACTTTTTATTGACTCACAACCACTGGAGAGCGATCGGAAAGAAAGAAGAGGAAATGAGAAAGCAAAGCAGTAAAACATTTAAGAGAGAAAGACGTATATCTACCACCACAGATCCAGTGACCTCTCACAGGTCCGCCTGTTTTGATTTGGTGGGGAAGAGTAGCTGTTCACAGTGACATTATAGAGAGTCCCAAGAACTGCTTTGCCTACCCTCCTCCTGTTTAGCGCATGTCAGGAGTGATCTTTACCCGCCCCACGCAGCATCGCCTCTGTTGGTGGAGCACACATAGTTGTCCAGAGGGTTCTTTTTTCCAGATGTTGTATGACTGTGCACCTTTGGGTTTTTGCAGACGTAGTATGACTTGACAACTTGCACACCGCTGGGCTTTTGTGCTTGCAAGACAGCTGCCTTATCAGCAGTTGAGCTGGGCCCTAAAGTTGTTGGTTAGGGTTTTTCAGTAGTCGAATCAAGCCCTATGGCTGATCAGTAGTCCAAGCTTGCAAACGGTAGCCTTGAAGTTCCTTCACGGGGAATTTCAGCAAGGTTGAGACAAACATTTAACAAAGTCTCTTACAGGTGCATTTTTTGCTTGTAGGCTATCGGCCCGACTCATCTGAAGTATGTCACCATGCGTTTACTGCTAGTCTCCAAAGTGCAGGCTGTGCCGCAGCAGCACAACAGAGGTGCTCCTCTCCGCTTGCCCTGGCCAAGCGATGCCAAAGCAGCGGAGAGAGGACAGTGGCTCTGTCCCTGTTTGGATTTTCCGTGACCCTGTCACCTTGCCCTGAGGGCTGACCCAAGCCTACAGCCTGCCCACCTGCAATTGCGATCTCTGCCGGCTCTGTTGCAGATTTGTGCCCAAATGGGCGCAAAATCATCTTCACAGCCTGTTTCTCTCCAAGTCCTGCCATACGAAAGACCAACTGTTAAAAATGACTGAAGGGAAAGAAGGGGAAGCTACAAATGGATAGCAGATACAGCAGTTGGTATCAGCATGTGTTCAACCACACAGCAACTGCCTCAGTGAAAATATGAATTCCTTTCTGTATTTTTATCATTATTTTTAAATTTTAACTCTAAAAATATCTTAATACATGCAGCTTTCAGTAGATAGGGAAGTGTGAGACAAAGCAGTGTGGTTAATATAAAAAAATGCTCTGTTTTAATATATTTTTAATTTATTTACTATTGTTTTTACTCCAGTAATTGGTACTCCCCTTCTTCCACATGAGGAAAGCATGTCCCGTGGTACATTAAAATACAGTAGCTATAGAAATGGTCTAATTAAAATAATTTATTTTTTAGCAAGAGGTCTTTACAATGTTAGATTTGGTTTGTGGGTTTGGGGGTTTTTTTGCAATGAAAATGCAAATTAAAAAGCCATTTACTGAAGAGGAGGAATTGTGAGAGGTTACAGGGAGAAAGATGAGTAATGAAACAGGAAAAAAAAAAAGACGGGGAATAAGTTCTAGGTTATATAATTAGCAGCAAACTAGGATGGAAATATAAGAGAAATAGTCCTGCCAGCACTCATTATGCCCTAGGGAATAACGTGTGCTGAGCTGCTCAGCTTGCATCACAGCACTGTCTGTCTCAAGTCTGAAAAAGCACGGGGAGGAGCGAGCAGTGCACACAGGCTTTTGCGCATTGGAGAAGCGATTATTTTGCAGGGAACCAATTTTAAAATGAGCAAAAGGTTTGATCGATGTAGCTGAGAATATGGACCTACAGTGAGAGGCTTTTACAACTAGATTTTGTTTCATTAACCTCAGCAGCACTGTACGACAGAGAACCGCAGGGAAACATAGCCCTTGCTTCTCTGCACTGCCGGACTGTGGCCGCTTTTATCTTGGATTTTACGCAGAGGACAGTACGAGGCTTGCACAGTCATTATGTGTGTACACAGAGCCAATGACCCAGGATCACCTGCTACCTGGCGGGGAAAAAAAAAAAAAACCAAAGCTGGGCTGCGTGAGAGCTGCCACTTAGGCCGAAAGGGCTGTGGTAATTTTTCTTCCCAGAGCAGGTGACGATGCGGAGGAGCGGTGAGCGTGAGTCACAGCCCTGTCCTAGCGCTCAGCCTCCCAGGAGCCCAGCTCTTGGTGCAGCACAGCAGCTGCAGCTGCCTGTTGAGGCTGGGATGAGCAAACACGGTGCCGAGCAACAGGGCCGCGACTGCTCTCGGCACACACAGCCTCACTGGGTTCAAACACGAATGGGTCAGCAAACACTTCCTTCATCGGTTTTATTCTGGAAAGCTTGCTTTTCCTAGCGCTGCTGCAGATCCATCCAAACCTAGAATTTTGTTCGGGTCAACTGCTTCAAGACCTGGAACTGTGATAGTGCCTTCAGAGATGGTTATTTAGCATTACTGATGGCACTGCCAACATGCACGGTAAGGGCAGTGCAAGCGGAGGTTGTATGGAAGGTGATGGGATTTTGTGGTTTTTTTCTAAAAAAAACAACAAACCTCCGAGCTCTCTGAACTGCTAGCAAGCTCTGAACTCAGGTATGCTATGAAGGGAAAATAGCAAGTGTCTGCCCTGCGTGCCTGGATAACCACTAAAGCGAACCACATAATTCACAACTTGTTTGTTCAATTACAGTGTCGCCTCTGCTATTTCTAAGCAAAATATGATCTTATCACTGATATTTTTATTCCGCTTACATCTTTTTTTCTCTGTGGTAATGAATGTAAGATTGGGCAGCGACAAATCAAGCCCCTTTGAGAGCATGTGTGAATCCAGTTAGCCCAAGCATTTGCCTTTCATGAAACAGAAATGTTAAGTGCTCACTACTGCTCACACAGCAGATTCTTTTAAAACTAGCTGATTGGATACAATGCATGTGGCTCGTTAATGCAAATAAAGAAACACCAAGAAAGAACTGCTTTCACTGCACTAATTTTTCTCATAGATTGCTTTCGTCTAACTTTTTGCTAGGACATGCTTGGGGATTTGTTTACTCCTGTGGAAACACCAGAAGCCCAAAACAGAGGCTTTCTCAAAGGACTTTTTGGAGGAAGTGGACAAGCTTTTGACAGAGAGGAGCTTTGTAAGTAATTTATTGGGGGCCGGAGGGGTTGCAGAAATTATTTCATGGAAGCCCCTGCCCTCGTCATTTAGAAATGGAGTGGTACACAAACTTTGGGTTCCTGATGAAAAAATAAAGATGATATTGTGATGAAAGGGGAGGGTCCTCAGTTGCCTTCCCACAATGCCTTCATCTTGGCAGCTTCTTTTGAGCAACTGCAAGGAGGGGAAGGGAGGCCACGATTCCAACATAGATGCACCAGCACAGAGCAAAACCTGTCACACGGGCCATCTGCATATCAAACGTCCTCACCCCTCAAGGCTGAGAAGCCCTGAGAGAGCCATGGGCAGGCGCTCATTCCTGTTGGTCCATTTCTCATTTGCAGTTGGTGAGGCCACAGCAGGAAAAGCCTCCCGCAGTCTTGCCCAGCACATCCCTGGATCCGGTGGAATTGAAGGCGTGAGAGGAGCCGCGGGAGGAGTCATTGGGGATTTGACTCGTGCGCGCATTGCCCTGGATGAGAGAGGCCAGAAACTGGGAGAGCTGGATGAAAGGACTGCGAGCATGATGGCCAGTGCGGAAGCATTTTCCAAACATGCACATGAGGTAGGGGCCCTGGCACCGCACACCCCAAACTAAGAACCACTGACCTTGCAGCTGAGCCTTTGCTTCCCTTTGGGAAACTAAAGTAGGGTTCTCCCCATTCACCTACTCGTGGTCTTTGAAGTGTACTCGTGTTAACAGAGATGACATTTTTTCCTGCTCTCAAACAATGAGAATGCTGAAAATAAACTTCCATTGCATGCCCCTTCCTTTCCATGTTTTCATAAATGAGCAGCCTCTGAATTTAGAATGTGGCACTTCTCATCTCTCACCTTTCTCACTAATTCATTAGAATTATTTTCTTGAAGCCACTTACCACAGCACATCTCCACAGTAAGGCAGAAAACAGGTAGGTGGATATGTCTCTAGGAACCTTTACAGATCTTGTTGGGAAGAAGAGAACATTTCTAGTATAACACTGTGGGTACGGTTGTATAGAACAGGGCTTGCCTCGAATAGACAGTTTCTGCGCTTAGAGCTGGAAATGGAAAGCTCATCCATCCCACTCTGTTAAGGCTGGGAATCAACTAAAGTGATTTTCTTTGAAGCTAAAACAACATTAAAGTACACTTCCCCAAATGCATTGTTTTTCATTTAACATACACCACATCTCTGGACAAGACCTTTACATTTTTATTGCCTTTTGCAAGTTTGTGTTAAAAATACGCAGAAAAAAATTTTGCCCAATGCAGGAAGTTTATATATTCAGGGCATATCTACTGTGCTCCATAGATAAGCTTCTTTCTTATAGCTGTAAAAAGCAAGATCCTTGTCATTCCCATAGCAGGTAGCTACTTATTTCTTTATTTAAAATGTAACAATTATGAAACTAAATACTAGGTCTCTGTGGACTCAGGACCAGATGCCACTGTCAGTGAAGTACTGCATCGCTCTTACTTTTTTACTGAGGAAGTGACAGCTGAAGGGCCCAGGTCACGTGTGGTGCCTCATGTGCAGAGCAGAGTTTTATATCTGTTTGTTTCCCGTTTCTGTAGGTGATGCTGAAATACAAGGACAAAAAGTGGTACCAGTTTTAGACTTTCAAAGCAGCAGCTTGCAGTGGAGAACACTGTTCAGGGAAGCAACGTTCATTCCCAAATCTACCAGTCACTGGCCAGAGACAGTCTTCTCTCCTAGAAGATGTTTTCCTGTTACGATTATTGGATTCATCACTGTGGGAGTCAAGGAGAAATTTAAGAGACCGTGGGACGGAAGCTAGAATCATGTGGGTCTTACTCCAACAGCTGGCTCATGCAGTAGCCGATTTTTTCCAAAAGGAACTCAACCATCACTGTGGCATGTAGTTTTTCAGAAGCTGTAGGTATGAACTGTGGGGAGTGCGTCGGATTAAAAATATTCTGTACAAACTCGAATGTTAATGCACTTATGAAACTTTGCATGACTAGTTGACATCTTAAAAAAAAAAAAAAAAAAGAGAAAAAGAAAGCATGTTGTGACCGAAGAAAAATGGGATTTATTTCTATTCTCAGCAAAAAAAAAAATACTTAAATGGCAAAAATCTTTATTTTTTAAAAGTGACATTACAAAAAGCCAGTACATTTCAAGCATGTTTGCTACCATTCTCAACATAAAAATGAGTTGAGCTACATTTTCTTATCTGCTATTTATTCCCCTTAAAAAATCTTGCCTGAAATCAGTGCTCTTTAACTGCTACCAGAAAAAAATAAATAACTTCCAAATTCTATATGCCCAAAATTTAGAGATTTTTCAAGTAGCTGGGCAGGCACTATCTGAAATGTCAGCAAAACATGAGCATAGATGGTTTATTTGAAATGCAGAGCACACGGCAACGTCATCCTTATCTGCACTTTCTTTTAAATGTGCTCTAGATTCATCTCAGTTGTCCTTGAAGGTGGCTGTGGCAATCTCTTTTCCTGTGGTGTCTATATCTCTTGGTTGCCCTTTTTTCTTGGTAGCAGGAACAGAAAATCAGCTTAGAAATCGCTTCTTTGAGTTAGGAAAGGCAAGATGGAAAACCATAGGGCTACAGGTTGGAGAGTCCTGTCAAGTTCCACTCACAGAAGTTGCTAAGCAGCTTTGCAGAGCAGGAATTTTCTTCTTAAGCGGTCAGTCAAAACTCTGCTAAGGAAACTGTACGATCAGCCCCCCTAAAGCTGGAGGGAGAGAGGTCACAGCAGCAAGACTAAATTGTGGACCAAGGGAGGAACACAAAAAACAACTGTCAACATACGGTGCTCAGTTGGCACATACATAAAATACACCATGGGTGAGTGGCAATTAATTTTCTGCTCACGCTGCTAAAAGTAATTTGCTTCTGCTTCAAAGTGGCTTGTTTGGTTTCTGCAGTGAGCTCCTGAGAAAATGCTCCAACCTGCAACTACAGAGCAGAACAGTAAGTGGAACCTGTTACCCCTCAATGCCAAGAGATTCCTAGTCCGTGAGCATGTTGCAGACATGGTAGCCTGCAAGAGCAAGCTTCCTTGCCACACAGGTCAGCTGTTAAGTTAGAAATTTTTCTAAGCTTGGCTTCGAAGGAATGCACTGAAGGTTTGTTTTCATGTGCCTGGATGTAGTTTCAGATTAGACAAGTGAGGAAAAGTGGAAAAGCAGCATTTACAAACTGTCTGTGTGAGAAGAGTAACATTCTCTATCCCTTCAAAGAGTGCTGATGGACCTTCCCCCTCCTAACTCGACCTCAACTTCACTGGCATTTGTATCACTCCAGTGGTCAGATGATCTCTTCAAAGATGCCTTTCCCATGGCCTTCCTTTTCTCACAATAAAACAGAGCCTGGGAAATTGCACAGTCCAGAAGGCTGGCTTCACTGTCAGCCGAGCTGCACAAGTTCAAGGGTTGGAACAGATGTGAGGTTTTTAAATTCATGTTTTTATAGCACAACAGGAATTTCATGCTAAGATTTTTACATTTCTCTGTGGGCAAAATCAAAACAATGGCCCTGACAGGTCTAGCTCAGTTGGGAATGAGACTCAACAAGTTCCTCTCTGTCACTGGAGAAACTGCTCTACAGTTGTGAGAATGGTAGAAAAATGTTGAGGAAAAAAAGGTCAAAGCCCAAGCAGTGCCTAGGTTTCTGCTGAGGGTTAAGGAATTGGTGTTGTTCGCGAGCCAAGAGGCAACAGCAAACTCACGATGCTGATGCCAACAGGAATGAGGTTGGGGAATTCCCTCCAGCGACCACAGAACTGACCACCTCCATGTGGGTGAGGAAGTACCGCTGGAACCAGGAGTCTAGACTGAGAAATGAATGAGAACATTATAGCAATTCTATCTTCTGTTTAAATGCATATTTGTTCTCATTTGGGGGCAGCAGATCATGCAAACCCTCTAACCAGCTTCCTAGCCTTTGCTCCTCCTGCCTTCTCTGCTTTGACAGAGAAGCGAAGCGGCCATCACTCACCTTAAGCCAAGTCTGCCCCACTAGCGTTTGCGCTGCGCCCAGCTCCACGCTTGCTTCTGCGCTGAGCCGGTGCAGCCGGAAAAGCCAGCACCAGTTCCAGTGCGGCACTTGGATGGGCTATGGGGCCAGCTTCCACCATGAATTGGTGTGACGCTGTCAGTCTTTAAGGACACTGCCCAGGCGAGCGGCAGCATGTGGCACTCGGGCAGCAGCCGTGCCAATGACAAGGAACCCACTACTTCGGTGTCAGCTTTCAGGTGCACCTCCCCTGGGTGACCATCAGGGGAAAGGTCCCCATCATCTTGATTTCAGTGGCAATGTCTTCAGGCTGGAGCTAGAGCCCACTCGCAAGGTTGAGAATCACGTGTTAAAAAAAAAATAAAATTAAAAATTAAAAGCAACTTTTAATTGCTAAACACTACAGCACACCCAGAGAGCAAAGTGTCTTTAACAAGTCTTTTACACAATGCCTGACTGACTCTGGCTGCCAACAGTCTCTAGTTTAACACTGGATGGGGGTGGGGGGAAGGAACCAAACACAAACTAACCCTGCCAGTAGATTTCCATTTGCATTTTTATGCAACAGAGAAATGAGAACCTACCATCCCTCAAAGTTAACATTTTTAAAGCTTTTCAGCAACTTTTCTCTAGTCCTCCCCATCAGGTCACAGCTGTATCTTGCTTTTCGCTCTTACATATTTTACATATTTCCAGACCGTTACAAATTACTATTTCTGTTAAGTTCACTACTTGTGACTATAATTATCAATTTTCTTGTAGTCTGTAGAGATCTAACAAGTTGTATATGTTTGTATATAGAATATTCTATATATATAAATATATATATGTAATGTATATGTTGTACAAGTTTGTTAGTGCACACTGTTAAATGCTTTCTATCAAGATTTATCATGTATGTGGGGAGAAAAAAGAAAAAAAAAAACACAACAAACTTCACTTACAGACTTCAGTGAGGGAGGAAAATCTCTTGCCTGGTTGATTTATTGTGAAATGAGAGGGAGTGTGGAACTTTTGAAAGGCCTGACCTGAGCGCTGCTAAAGGCTATTAGCAAAAGACAAAAGACGGCAGCATTCTGAGCACAGCGTGTGACCTGACTTGCTTTAAGAAAATCGAGGACACGAGCTGTCACTGGATGTTGAAATCATGTGCTTTCACCTTTCCCGCTAAGGCAGCACCACCTCGAGCAAAATCCTAAGCTTAGACATATCTTCAGCATTGCAGCCCTCAGTTGCAATAGACCTGATTGGCTGGAAACATTATTTCAATTTAAAATGCTCCTTGTTCATTTGGGTGCCCTGTTCCCTCCCAGTCTTTTTCACAGGAGCTTTCAATCACAACCACATCCAAAACCAGACACACAGAACTTCCAACAGCACAGCCCCCATCTGAATTTGACTAGATGTGCTTAATCTTGGATGTAGAGCTGTAGAAAGAGTATACAGAGAAAATACATTAAATTAGATACCTATACATTTTCAGAGTTGGCAAGTCTTCAATGAAGTACAAGGTATTTTGTTAATTGTTTGGTTTTTGTTGTTTTGATTTATTTTTTTTAAATCATTCCTAGAGTTTTAACGTATGCTTCAAACCTTTAATTAAAAGACATGATAAAGGAAAATTTGAGAATCAGGTTTTGTTTTGTATGATGACCTGTTTTCTAAATTTTTTTATGGGTCTGCTGTTCAATTATGCACATTAATTAGACTTTCCCTGCATTGCCAGAATATAGCTTGTTACACAAATATTTAACAGAAATACTCTATTTACTACATCTATTGTATAAAATTATCACATAGAGAAATTCTCTAGAAGAGTTTACATATTCCTGTTGCAGGAACCCTTTCACACCATTGCATATTTGCACTGTAATGCAGATATGCACACCGAAATATTGTCTTCAGTACACAACTTAAGAAATGAAGAAATCACCGCAGCTTAAATAGGAGCTGTGTTCAACCTCAGGACTCCGCCATTCATAAACTGTGTGAGTTGTAACATGGGCAAAAAGGCAGATTTCAGTTAATTACGCCCCTTAAATACCCTGCCCCCATCAACATCCTTTTCCATAGCCTAAAGGTGAATTCAAGCACAGTATGTGTCAGTCTTGAACGGGTTTTTTTTTTGCCTTGGTATGGTCTGAGTAAGAACACACTCTCTCTCATTAAGGAACTACGTGTGGCCATTCGTAGTCAACTCGTCATTTTAGGTGTATAAGCAATAGTCACGTAAATGAGTGTTTCCATTCATGTGTTTTGTTTTGTGATTAAATCAACAGATTGAACATTGTACTTTTTTAAATAGCAACCAATATTCAGATTCAGTGTCAAGGAAATGTGGACAGAATATGTGTGGCGTTTGTTAAACGAGTCATTACCTGTATCTCAGAACGAAGGCGCATCTAGGGTGAACCACACACCCCTGCGCTAACCATGTCCTGTTTCCACAGGCATCCTAAATCAGAGTCGCAAAAGGAAAACTAAGGCATCTTTTAACCAAGGCTGTTTCGAGTCCCTAGTAAACAATCAAAAAAAAGAGGGAAAGAAAATAAAGGAAAGAATTGGTATTAATTGGTGTAGATCTTTTTTTTCTCCATCCTCCACTGCTAGATTCTTTATACTATTTCCAAGGTGCGTGGGTTTATGTAAAGCCTTCGGATGGACTTTACCTTACTCACTCAAGAGAACGGCAAACTCAGCCAGGGTGGTTGCTAGTGTGGAGATAGCCACCTCCTGTCCTCTGGCAGCTGAAGCCTGGACCGCAGCTGATACTCCTTTGGTCTGCTGCAGGCAGCTCGCTGGGTACTCATGGTCATAACGCTGGTCCCTGGGAATATCAGCCTTGTCACCTAGGCTCCTCAGCCTACTGAGAGCACCCTTCGCAGCACTTCAGGGTAAAACCTACAAGCTGAAATCTCAGAAGGGCAGAAGTGAGCTCATTTAAGGGCACTTATCAGCAAGAAGGATTGAGTTGCTCTGCCAGGAGAGGCTCAAAAA